CGGAGTATTGCCGAAATGTTCTGAACGTCACTGGAAGTTGTCAGAATTTCTAAAATATATGCTAGACGTCAAGAATATCGCCGGAGACTCACCAAAATATCTAGAATATTTTCCGAAAAAAAGAAGAATAAACTGAGAAATTAAAGTGAAAAAACATAACAAAATGTGCTAAATGTTGATAAATTAAAAGAAGAAGATGAGATGCCCCAAATTTTATTTTTTTTTTTGAAATATTATAAAATTTAAATAACAAATAACTTGCTAAATAAAATTTTAACAACTAATTAGGGAAATTTAAATTCTTACATAGTCAAAGCTTAATAACTAAATTAAGAGTCCACATACAATATTACAATAACTTCATAACATATGTAATTACTAATATCAAGGATAATAAAATTTTATTTCGATAGAGTCTTGACATTAAGTTAGCCAAGGTTCAATATTAGCAGTAGCTCCAAATTCAGCTTCAGTCTCTTATTCGACATAATCTGGCATGAAACACCAGGGCAACAAAATATATGCCATGAGTTTTGCAACACAGTAAGAAAACGTAACCAACCTACCATTTATTTTAAGAGAAAATAATATGTCACGACCCGCTCTCCGTACCTAAGGGTTAAGTATCGTGATGGCCAGTAACTGAAGTTGCCTACGGCCAATTCTTAAACAAATCAATAAACGCGAGCAGAAGTAATATTTAAGTAAGGGTACCAAAATAATCATTGGAGCTTCTATTTTTATTACAAAATATATTGACCAAAAATGTCGATATTTACATAGAAAAATATCATAAAAGTGTTGTGTGTGTCTACTCCGCAGCCCTGCATCTAAGACTTTTCAAAAGTTATTTATGAATTGCATTGTTTCCTGAAAATTGGTAAACAACTATAAGCACTTGGCAGAGTGAGAAATATTATACCAAGAGTATAAGGGACACGAAATAACTATGGATAGTTATGTAGCCAAAACATTTAAGATAACTTAGTCGGAACAAATAATCCTTTAAGTAGCAAAACTGAGATTATGTAAATAAATAACCATAACCACGGTAATTTGGTAAACAAATCATTTAAGTGGCAAAAACTGAAATACAAAAATTATGTAAGTAAATGACCATAACCACAGTACAGAATAGAACAGAACAGAGGTCACAGAAGTGACAGTCAGAACAGAGGTATGAATTCAAGAAGTGGCTCGTACGGATTCTAGAGGTGGCTCCCATAATAGTGTAACACTTAGCTCCGCACAGAACAGATGTCAATGGATCCATGACAAACAGAAGACTACAAAGTGGTTAAACAGAGGTCAATGGTTATTTAAGTCTCCCAAGGCGTGGGACTCTCGTGGTGGTACTTACAAAACATAATTGTATATAAGGTCATAGCCAAATATTCTTTAAAAGTAAAACAAACATATTCATGGGTTTCCTTTTAACAAATAGAGTTCGGAAATTAAACCACGTAACTGAAATATTAATATAATTTATAATAATTGATAAAACATAACTTATATAAAATAAGTAATAGTAAGTCAAAATATAAGTAAAATACATTTTAGTATCTCAAGGTATAATATAACTCACATTAACTTTAATACCTCACCCTTTTTTTCACTATCAAAGACCATCTTAATTTCTACTATTTTTTCTTCTTTTCTTTTCTTTCTTTCTCCCTTCCTTTCTTTCTCTCATTCCTTTCTTTCTTTTCTTCTCCGGGTGTGACACGCCTCCCTTTTTATAGGGAGATAAGGCGCATACGTGGCAGATTCGATAATAAATTCATAAATTCATAAATTCATTCTTATCCTTAATAGATATTTAAAATAATTACATTTTAACCTAATATTTTAATATAATTATATAAATAAATTAATTCCTAATTAAATTACACTCTATCTTATACTAATAGAAAATTATTTATTTATTTTACTACCATATCTATTATTATTATTATTAATTATACTTTGACCCCTCAATTTTTAATAATTATATTATTTTATAAAATTATACATAATAATACAAAATAGATCATATATTTTCCAACTATAATTAAATAATATTTGTATAAATTTTACAGAATAATTAAAAATTTAGGTTGTTACATAATCAAACTAATGACAATTAAAATAATAATAAAATTCAATGGCATGATACATGTAACTACCATTATAATAATTTCGACAATTTTAATATTTTAGGTGACACTCAAAATCTCACCAAAGATATTTAACTTAACAACCACTAAGCATGGCAACGATTAATTTGAAACCCCCCATTGGTCAAATATTCAAGTGTTACCAACCGTAACTACCAGGCATGCCCACGTCCGGAGTTATATACCCAAGTAGTAGCATCTGTGGTCGGCCCCAAGAAAACGGTCTGTCAATGGTACGTAACCTCCCTGTGTGCCACCTGCACATCCACCCTTATTTCAAAACTGAATACCGAAAAGGGTTCAAATAAGTCTCGTGCCATCTAAGGGTTTCGCGACACAATTTACGTGAGAATTCTCAAAACCAAGACCCATCCTGAATAACCAGTATTAACCGTCAACCCTTAATTCGTACACTCTTTAAAACCAGGACTCACCCTGAACAACTGGTATTAACCGTCAATTGTTAACTTTGTATATGCCGTTAATTATTTTATTTAGTTTTAATATTAATCACAAATAATTCTAATTTTTAATTACAAATAATGTTATACTCACTCATTAAAATTCCCAACATAAAATATTATATATGTCACACAATAATAAATAATTGTACAAAATTTAAATAAACAATTTATTTAAATCATAATATGAAATAATAATTTAGATACTAATAAATCATAATTACACACATGCATGGATTTTAATCTACAAGACTAGACTACCACAATATTAAATTTTTAGTCCAAATAAACAATTAAAGAGATAATTTTTTATTCCTCCTTAATCTGCCAAAATTTTCAGAATGTATATCTTGCAAATAAAATTATAAATAAATTACTTATACAACTCTAAAATTCATATAAATCTACAGAATACTCAATAAATATGTTATGGTAATTTTTCAGAAAGCATTTTCCAAAAATAATTTATAAACAATTCTTAAAAATTTTAAGAAAGTTTATGACACAGATTTATCACATTTTCTTAAATTAATTCCATACTTAAATTTATAAATCAATTCCACAATATAAAATTTTATTATGAAACTAAACTTCTCCAATTTCATTTTTTGCTTAGAAATTACCGGATTTAGTTTAATATAAAATTTTAATTGATTTTTCAAACACATGGTAAAATCTGCCTATAGCTCCAAATTTGGTTAAAAATCTGTATAAATTCATACAAAACTCCATAATTGTTGAAACAATTCATGGATGAATTAAAAATCATTATAAACAACTTTGTAGAAGAAATAATCTTCAAATTTTGAGTATAAAATTGTCTAAAAATTTGTACAAATTTTCTGACAGATTCAAGGACCAAAGAAAATCTTCAATCCTCTCTTTAATGGTATAAACTATACATGCCAGCCTATTTCCACAATAATACCATGACTTTAAAACTATCAATATCTTCAATATTTGATATACACATCACAATATTTATATACATATATAAAAAAATTTCTATCTAAAAATTAGTCATTTTATCAGATAAGTCTAATCTGAAAATTTCAACAATTAAAAAAAATGAGAGGGTTGAGAGGGTTTTCTTACTTAGTTGTAGGATTGAAATGGAATAGTGAAATGGTAGGAAAATATGCAACCTCAACCTCCTCCTCTTCTTCCACAAGAATTCCCTCTACTTCTTTTTTTCTTACTCTCTCCGATTAGCCTTTAGAAAACATGAACATAGTGTGTACGAACACTGTGTGTATATGAATATATAGAAGATTCTCTCTCTCTCTCTCTCTCTCTCTCTCTCTCTTTCTTTTCTTTCTCTTTCTCTTCATTCCATGAAGTCCAACGTGCCCCTCAATTCCAATGATGCATAATGAGATTAGGGTTCCTACAGTTACATGCAAACAAACATGTGGCAAAGTTGCCACCGAAAGTCTTTTTTTTTTTTTTTTGAGTTGCTTAAAATTGATACACTAAAATTTTTAATTAAGGTCTTTAGTAAGAATAATTATCATGTTGAATCCTAATTAAAATAATTTATAAACAATAAATATTGAATATCTACAAAATTATTATTCTTAATATTGTCTTTGTTAGTGATTAAATTGGGTTAATTTAAAACTAACTTTTACACTATTATATATTTTAGGTAAACTCTGAATAAAATTAATTAATTTATTTATTTATTTATTTTCTTTTAAGAATAATTAAATATGGGTTTTCACAGAAGAAAAAAAAACTTAAGAACAACAAACAGTAACAAAGAAAAAAAACATACATTATTTTTAATTTTTGTAAGGTTTAAGCAAATAATTCCTAATATTGATCAAACTGAAAAGTAAGCTTTGAAACTGTAAAATGTTATAGTTTCAAAATATGATTCTATTAAGTATTTATCCTTATTAATCAAACTGAAAAACATGTTATGAAATTGTAAAATTTTACAATTCTAAAGAATGATTCAATTCAGTACCAAAAAAATTGAAACTGTAAAATTTAACAACTTTTATCGCCTGTAATTAAAACTCGAAAATAACTTGTTTAGAATTGGAAAATTTTCTCTATTATAACACGAAAATAGAAGTGTATAGTACAAAAAACAAGTATTAAAACTGAGAGATCAAAGGAAAGAGACAGATATAGAGAGATCCTTGTACTCTAACAACTATTTTTTGGTTTAGATCTAGCCGAATCTAACATAGATTTACTCAGATCTGCATCAGATCTGAGTAGATCTACTCATTTTCTTCGTCAGAAACTCATCTCTTTCGTCATTGGTGAGCGCAAAACAAGAAGTTGGTGTTCGGTGGTTGCCCATGAACCCCAATCAATGGTGGTCGCTGGTCGCCAATGACTGTAGATTAGAAAGAGAAAGAAAAAAAGGAAGACGTGGTCGCGGTCATAGTCATTGCCGATATCAAAGAAAGAGAGATACAGAGAAGAAGCAATGTGTAAAGAAAGAGGAGAAGATAAATGGGTATAGGACTTTTGGATCTATCGAACAAGTTTTGGGATTAAATAGAATACACACTTTCAAAAAGAACTTGTGGGTAATTTGCCCTATATTTTTTTTAGGAATATTAATTGTCATGATTGTACTTTTTGTGTTTGTTAATGAATTGAAAAAAAGGATAAAATAAGAAATTTATATTATTTTAGTCATTAATTTTTAAAAAGACAACCCAAGGGTGGGTGGCATTGTGGTTAAGGCTTGGGGTGTAAGCCCCAAGGTCACAGGTTCAATTCCCTCCCATTTGGGCCAATCTCCTGGGCGAAGCACAGTTGGTTAGAAGGTTGGACCTTAAGTTGTCTAATCAACACAAGGGGCGCTGCCTTGGATCTGCGGGATAGTAGGGAGGATTTCCCTGTAACAAAAAAAAAATTAAAAATTAAAAAGAGACTAATATTTTAGAATAATAAAAAATAGAACAAGAAATTAATATTGTGGAATAAAAGGTGTAATTATTTAGGCAAAGATGCCCCGCCGCCCCTTCCCCGCCCCCCGCTATTGATTTTATCGTTGTCCAATCGACCCCACCTATTCATTAGATGGCCCAGGTCTTTTCTTTCCACTAAAAAAACAGAATAAAAGACCCCCACTATCTCCCACTCCCACTATCCCACATACACGTGGGGGTTAGTGACTGGAGAAAAAAAAAAATGACCAACGACAATCCACCGATGGTGTGTTTGTTTTGAAGGATTAAGATGTGGGATTAGACTATTAGTCCCACTGGACTAATAGTCCATTGTTTGTTTCATTTCTTTTGCTCCGGACTAATAGTCCCCCCGGACTATTAATCTCATATTTGTGGGACTATCCTATCTCATGGGGAGGTGGGATTGTTTCCATGGGATTGGAATCCCATGGGATTAGGCTCTGAAATGTCCATTTTATCCCCATGCTATTACTTAGCAAACAATTAGAAAATGGTAAAATAGTCTTTTGAACATTTATAAATTATTTTTTTAGTGTTGTTAATTTAAATTATATATTAAATAAAAAATATAAATTATAAATTTAATTTAATTAAAAATAATAAATTAAAAATTATGGCCTTATAATTTTTTTAGTGTTGTTAAAAAATTAAAGGACTATTAGTTCCTCATATGAGGGATTATTGTATCCGAGGGGGGAGATGGGATTATTTTCATGGGACTGGTATCCCATAGGACTAATGTGTAAAATGTTCATTTTACCCTCATGCTATTACATAATAAATAATTGAAAAGGGGTAAAATAGTCTTTTGAACATTTATAAATTATTTTTTTAGTGTTGTTAATTTAAAATTATATATTAAATAAAAAATATAAATTATAAATTAAATTTATTTAAAAATAATAAATAATAAATTATGGCCTTATAAATTAAATTTGTTTAGTGTTGTTGAAAATTTAATTTATATATTAAATAAAATTATTTTTTCTATTGTCACAAATTTAAAATTATATATTAAATAAAAATTATAAATTATAAGGGTAAAATAGTCTTTTGAACATTTATCCTTATCTAGTCCGTCTAACCAAACATTGAATTCACTAAAAATAGTCCAATTCAGACATCTAATCCCATGACTAAACAAATATAGGATACAAATCCAATCTAACCAAATAGTCCAAGGACAATTTATCCTGCGACTAACAGTTTGATAGATTATAATCCCCTTTATTCAGTCTGTCTAAACAAATACACCCTAAGGCCATATTTGTTTGGGTAGACATGAGCTTGGGATTGGACTAATAGTCCAATAAAATTATTAATCCGATATTTGGTTAAACAATTGAAGTACGGACTAATTATTTTAAACTTGACTATTAGTTAAGATAGAATACATAATCCAACGGATTCGTAGTCCTAAAACTATTAGTCATAGGAATATTAATCCAGTCCGCCCAAACAAATATGGCCTTAGAGTGCTGAGAGTCTCTCCAATAGGAGCCCCAAACATTATGTTAAAAGGGTGTTCAAAAAAAAAACATTATGTTAAAAAGAAAGGGTTGAACATCAGAATAAAAAATAAAATCTATACTATTATAAAGTGAACAGAAACTTTGGTGTCCTGAAACTTTACTCTCTTCATGCCATGTGGCAGTATTTTTTAAAAAAAATGTAAACAAAGAGATGGGCAAGGCTTGAACCCATGACCATGGATTTAAGTACGAGAACTCATACCACTTAAGCTAAGTACACATTATAATATTAATTTCATTATTATTATTTTTTATTCATACTTATTTAAATTGCACACACATCATGTGTACCACCCACTAGTATAATTAAAAATCCACTTCTTTTTCTTGACGAGAAACCGACCGAAAGCATAAAGAAAGAAAATATCGAAGAAGGGTTTTGACTTGCTCCATGCCGTTTTGTTTATTGGAAGTGTAGGATTTTTTATTTTTTTTAGTCAAATCAACTTAGGAACATAGAAGAAAAAAAAAAAAAAAAAAATGCTGGGGACTTCCTTTTATGAGAGCCACACCATTTATGATTGAGTTTCAAAAGAGAGTTGTGAAGGTCCCAAAAAAAAAAAGAGTCTCTATCATTATTGGAAAAAAAATGTTATTTTAATCTTCTTATTATTACAAATATGTGATTCATATTCTCTTTTATTATTGTTTTTAATTTGTAATACTTTTATTATCCTTTTTTTTCATTGTCATGTTGATACAATTATAATTTTTTTTTAATTTTACAAATTAAGAAAAAATCATGAATTAAGACGTATGATTTCCATTATTAGGGTTTTTTAATCATATTTGGAAAATTTTAATTTTATTCAAATTAAGTGTTATAAATTCAAAATTAAAATGAATTGATTGTCTAATAAGTCTTATGATAATTAATGACGTTTTCATTAAACACTATTAAAAAACGCTACTAATTGTTAATTTTTAGTGACATTATGCCAATTTTATCATAAAAAATATCACTAATTATAAACTTTAGCGACAGTTTAAAAAAAATTATCATAAAAAAATGTCACTAATTGACAACTTTTAGCGACAGTTTGAAAAATTCGTCAAAGGAAAACGTCACTTTTAGTAATAATTTAAAAAAATCATGACCAAAAAAAGTCGCTAATTGTCAATTTTTAACGACATACGTAAAAAATCGTCATAAAAAATTATTTTTAGCAACGATTTTACCAAGACTATTTTCAATAGGACTTGATGAAAATTAAATTGAACTATTAAGATCAATTTAATTTTTATTTTTTTAAAAGTTTTAAAAAATAATTTTTTAAATTCAAACTAAACAAAACCTTTATCTTTCTAAAAACACTAACAAAGATTGACCTTTTTTTGGCAATAAAAGACATGGCTTTATAATACTAAAAGATTTTTGGGTGAATATAATACTAAAAGATGATAAATAATAATATTGATCATTTTAATAAACTTCCTAAGTTAAGCATGCCATTTGCACTTAAATTTTTTAGTATTATTTATGTGTTGAATCTAAATTCATGTCATGGCGTCCCTGCAAATAAATTCTTGATTCCGTCCGTAGCCAACATCGAAGGTGGCATCCCATTCTGCAGCTTGATATCAATTTCAAGAATTGAGTTCTCAGAATTCAAGGTGAAGTTGACCTTTTTTTTGCTTCTCCTTGTGCTAATGATACTAATAAATATCCAATCCTCATACTCTTGTTGAATTTTATCTAGTAAAACATAGGAAGCAGACAAAGCTTGGCAAGCACCAAAAAAACAAAAAAAAAAATTCTATAAAATGATTCCAAGGTTCCATTTTCTGGTTCTGAGTAAGCAGATGGCTTACCTCCAACTATCCTGCTTCCTTCTCAAGTGCTCCAGTACATATTTTTCACCAGTAAGATACTCAACCAATTCTTCAAGTGATAAAAGAAATAAAGAAATAAGAGGCAAGGAAAAAGGTAAGAATTGAAGAATATTAAGAGAAAGATTATGTAGATCTCTAATACATTAATGGTTACCATTTGTGTAATTTCGACAGTCGTGATGGCCTATCCTCAAACCAGTATCCCAATTCCCATTGAATTTATATGTTGCATCTATAGCATCCACTCTGGAGTATCCAACAAACCAACATTTACGGGCTGGCGGCTTTGTCAACTTCCTTGTAAGAATAACTCCTAACAAAGGTGCAGAGTGCAAGAGATACATTACTCTATGTCTCACAGAGATTAGATAATCCTTTGTGTTTGAGTGCAAAAGATACATGCTTGCGTTTAGTAACTACTCTTCTTTTTCTTTCTGTAATCGTTTGCAATGCAATGAAATTTTGCTAGTTTTATGATTTAGCATAAGAAAAAAAAGTTCATTCATGAATTATGGTTTTTGCATTATACATGGTTCAAAGTTGAGAGACTTGATTATCATTTAGCATCTACAGTTCAATTTATGCAGAATTGAGAACCATAATTGAAGGTTAGCAACTAAAATGAATATATATATATATATATAATCAATACCAAAACGAAAAACGAAACAAAAAATTTAAAAACATCAAGGGGCATACCTGGTATTTTTCTGCCAGATAGAGCTGCAAGTGCTACATATATATTTTCAGGATCTTGAGGTTGAAAATCAAAAACAAAGGCCTAGAAAAGAAAGAAATGTGATGAGAAAATTATGTTAGAATAAATAAATGCGTGTTCAAATTGGCCTATTGGATAGTAAGACTCTGTTTGGATGGAGGGAAAGTAAAAGGGGAAGGAACTCAAATCCCAAAACCCAACAAAAATTATGAAATTCCCATGAGAATATGAATCAATCAAATCCTCCATCAGATGACTAGATGAGAAAACCGCAAAACCCATTAATATATAGTTGTGAATATGTAAATAAGCATGAGAATTTTGAGAAACAAAGTTGAAAAAGTCGGGGAAAATATGATAAACCCTAGTGGGGAATATGGAGGAGGAGAGAGAACCTGAGAGAGAGGAGGTGAGGAGGAGGAGGGGGGTTTGATGAGGACCATGAAGTGCTGCAAATCCCAAAGGTTTAGGGAGTAAGCAGAAGACATAATCAGGTGGGCAGGTCCCTTTGCTGCTCTTAATGGCACTGCTGCTACATACACCTGGTCTCTGCTTCTTCTTTCTGTCACGGTTGCTGATTTTGTGGCACTGCTCAGCATACACACCATTTTTGAGCATTCAATTACTGAGATATCAGCTCATCGAATGACTATCTGTTGGGGAAGAGTTTGTTACAGTCATAAATAAATAATTTTTTTTATGAATTTAGATAAATATTTAAAAAATTTCCATATACAGCCTACAAATGTTATTTCATATCTAAGTTTGCCAAAACAGACTGTAAAAGAATCAAAAATTTCCTAAAATAAAATTGTGTAGACAAAATTTATACTACATGTGAATATTATTACCTCACATTTAAATCTATAATACTTTATTTTTTAATTTATTTTTATGTTGGTGATAACGTTATTGTATTTTTATCTATACTCAAAAGGTGTGGATGGAATGCATGATACTCTTTGCCATGAATTGGGCTGCCAAATTAGATGAGCCCTGCTTTATTTCGAATATAGTTGGGCTAGGAATCAATCACAAAGATTAGTCTTGGTTTCAACTCTGGCTGCTCATATGAGGCCTCTTTTTGAAATTCTATTGCGAGGACAAAACTAGATGAGCCAATTTAACCGATTAAAACCGGATTGAACTGGCTGATTTTAATTAATCGGTTTTTTCATTGAATACTCTATTTGGTTTTGGTTTGAGAAAAACACTATCTGCAGATTCAGTAACATTGTTCAACTTTTTAAAATCGAATCGCACCAAAACCGACCAATGTATCTAACACTTAACAACTTTTCTTTTTCTTTTTCTTTTTTTTTCTTTTTTGTACTGTATCGAGTACTTCAATAAAGACTTGGTGAGCTTGTATTTTGTTAAAGATTTGGGCCCGTGAATTGTGATTTCTATTTTGTTACATAGATTTGTGTTAAGTTTTTGTTTTTGACAATCCCGTTTGACAAAACTCTTTTCAGTTGTAATTTTATTTGATCTTTTATTTCAGTGAGGCTATGAGTATTTAGTTGCGAATATAAACCGAATTGTGCTTATGCAGAAGAGTTTGTGATCTTAATCCTATCATGTTTGCCACTTCGCTGACTATATTGGGGATCGAGCTGCCAGTCAGCTCGCAGGGGTTTAGGGGGCAGCGTCCCGGAAGCAAAAAGCAAAATTGCAGTAGAAATTGTTTGACCGCTTGAGCAGCCGATTGTGCGCTCAAGCGAAGATGAAATCCTTTCGAAAGTTTCACTCACCTACAAAAGTATTCGGAGTTGAGATTTTTATGCTCGAATGAACTTTTCATCGCTCGAGCGAAGACACTTAAGTAATTCAAGCATATCAGTCTTGTCGCTCGAGCGACCGCTGTGGCCCCGTTTGCTATAAAGCTACATTTGAGTCAGAATTTAGGATACGGCTTTCAGATCTTCTTCTTGAGTATTAGGGTTTTCTTTTGGAGCTTTTGTGATAACCATGTTCTGTGTTATGTTAATTAATCTTAATTATGATTGTGATTATGTGCCTAACATGATTTTGAATGCCAATTATATGATTATATGCTTTTTTGAATTTCTATCTGTTCACCGTAGGAAAATTTATTTGATTTTCTGCTATAAGATTAAATTGAAGGTCGTAGAGGCAGCAGAAAATGGAATTGACCGTATTTTTGCAATTAGCATGATTTTTAGAGCCTACGGTGAGATTTAATCAAAAATTGATTCGGATCAAAATAACTAGATTGAATCGATTAAATTAAATACAATTAGTTAGTCATAATTGAGTTTGATTAACTCAAGCTAATCATCGAGTATATATATGTGCTAAACACACTTAAGGTCATAGGATGAGCTCAAAATCTAAAATATACACTCTAGAGAGAAATTGAGCCGACTTTAGAGAGAGGGTTCATCCTTGAACATTTTTGCAAGAGAATTCAAGAACTAGGAGGATTAGCTCAAGAATTGGCTATAATTGGAAAGGTTGGAGCTTCTAGGTGAGTAATCGAACTCAAATTCATGAGTTTAAGTTCATAACTAAGTGAATTCAAGCATAATATGTAATTAAAAACAAGAATTGAGTTGATTATAATGAATTTGAAATTAATATGTATTGAGATTGCCATGAATTTGCATATTTGAGCATGAAACATGTAATTCATGTTGATTTGAGAGTCATTTGATACATGCATGTAAGAATTACCATGGTATGAAACTCAATTCTAAGGATTCATATTTGTGTTTGGAAGGTGATTTTTGGAACATGAAGAATATGGCACCAAATCATATATACATGCATAATTTTGTTGAGTCTCATGAGTTTGAACATCAATTGTACCATTTAAGATGAATATAGAAGCTACACTTCACATGCATGAAAGATCCAAGAAATTGCATGAGTTTGAAGCTATGAAATAAAGGAGAAATTTGAACTTAAGTAACGAATTTATGAGAATTTGAGCTTCAAATATGGTGAAATTGACATTTATATCATGATAGAAGTTGTGTGGTTGACATATAGGCCATAAAATGCAAGTTACATCATGTAGAGTTGTGTTTTGAAGCTCAAAATGTATGCTGGAAATTCCAAAATTTGGCCTGTCCATTTGAGCGAAAAAAGTCTCGCTCGAGCGTAAAAATCAAGCTTCCAGAAGTTTTACAAAGAATTGCACGGTAGCTTGAGCGACAAACCTTACGCTCGAGCGAACCCTATTTTGTGAGACGCCTCGCTCGAGCGACAGAAATCTCGCTCGAGCGTAAAATTCATGCAACTAGTATTTTCACATAGTTTTACAAACCACTCAAGTGACCAAAGCTGTGCTCGAGCGGAGTGCCCTGTTTCAGGAATTTTGAAAAGTTGTTTCATGTTCCGATTTTCAATTTCTTTCATTTCTAAGTACTCTTAGGCATGCATTGCGCATTGTAAATGAACTAAAGGAATAAGAAAGAGGCCTAAGAGAAATAAACAACTTAAGAATGGATTAAATTCCTTGTGACCCAATGTGTTATGAAATGTGTAGGGTCAAGCGCGACGGCAAATCCATCGACGGAACATTGTGAGTAATATCTTAGTAAAAATATTTTCAAGTATGTTATTTTTCAAATGCTACTTTTGTATAAACTTCATGGATTTGTTGATTTGAATTATGAATGAGTATTCGATATGCCTAATTTTTGTATAAGGCTCTGCGAAGAACATGATTTGGGCCTAAGGCCGTTTGATATGTATAAATTGGGCATGAGGCAGTTTGATACGTTTGATATGTATGAATTGGGCCTGAGGCCGTTTGATACGTTTGATATGCATGAATTAGGCCTAAGGTCGTTTGCTACGTTGAATATTTTAATGGGCCAAAGACCGTTTGAATATGAATGTAATGGGACAAAGGCCGTTTGAATAAAAAAGTGATCATTATCATGAACATGAAATGTGCATAAATATGAATATGGAAAATAATAGACCCGGGACCGTTTAATATGTTTGAAGTATTTGAATTGGGCCCAGGCTGTCTGATAAATCTGACAAAGTTATGCAATGGCCCGAGGCTATCTGATATGTTCGATAAGAATCCAAAATGGGCCCGAGGCCGTTTGACGTATACAACAAAAGCACAAAATGAGCTTAAGGTCGTTTGTATATGAAATTACAGGTTTGATGTATTCAATATGAACCTCATTCATATAATCCCTTTACTTAGATATTATTCACTGAGCATTAGCTCACTCTTATTTATATGTATGTAAGTGAGGAAAGGGACGTTCAACCCCAGCCTTAGTGGAGCTTGAGAAGGGAACCCGAGTTTTGTCGAGTCAGCCCACGTGCTTCACGCAAGAAGCTTTGTTTATAACCTTTTGTATTTTCTTTTCCTATTTCCATTGGTCATGATACACCATTTATGTGTATAAGTTTTTAGTATACTTGACTATATGTTTGAATGATCCTGAGTGTACAAGATGTTAACTATTAATATGTGGTGTGAGTTATTATCATGTATATGAAAAATGTTTTTGATATGCCATGTAAACACAGCTCATTAAACAAAATTTTTAAGTCTGCTTCCGCTTTGGCCCCTTTATTGCTAATAAGATACGTTTATTCTTATTTGAGGCTATAGGTAATCTCATAATTACTGACCGATTATGACCTTCACTGCTAAAAAAGGGAGCTTTAGCCATGGAACCTTTTGCGACGGTCTGAAAATCGTCGCAAATACCATGTTTTTCTACAGCAAACGAAGTTATCTCAAAAGTAATTTTTTGCGACGGAAAATCCAAGACCGTGGCAAAAATTAGTACCTTTTGCGACGATTTGTTACCCGTCATTTTTTTTTGCGATTGTTTAATTCCTTTTGCGACGCCATCCATTCCACTGTCGCAAAAGATTTTTTTTTTTCCTTCCCGCACCCTGCTTCTTTCCTTCTCTTCTACTCTCTCAGTATTCTCTTCCATTAGATCAAAGAAAAAACCTAGTCGTCACTCTATCTCTCTCGCTCCCAGTCGTCTATCTCGCAGCCCCAACAGTACCAGCGTGGAAGAGTTCCAGGTTACCCTTCTCTTCTCTCATTTTCTTTCCTCTCACTCGCACAGACCCTCACAATATCTCTCTCTTGCTTTCGCTCTCACTGTCGCCAATCTTCTATTCCTCTCTCTCTCTCTCCCTCTCTATAAAATGTCAACAGCAAACCCAAAATTTCAGTTCGCCTTGTTGGCGCTCTCTTCGTTCGCTATTCTTACAGACCAATTAGAAATGCAAAGAAAACCCTAACTTTCATTCCCTTCAATTCGATCTCACTCCAACAGTACATATACATATACATGTCCCAGTCTTCTTTGTGAATTCGATATATGTACGTATTGAAGTTTTCTTTTTCGAAAGGTGGTTCGTGCTCATACCTTTGGATCTCGAAGAACTGTTATTGTTTATTCAGATTTTTCACTGTCAATTTGGAATCAGGGGTACGTAATAGGTATGTTGAATCAAATTTCAATTCTTTTCTCCACCAATTTGAGTTTGAAAAGGTTTGGGTGGTAGTTGATTGGTTTGAATAGGTTGTTTCATTGTGTGATACGTTGGTTTGTGGCTGGGCTAGGGTTTTGTTGCTTGAATGATAAAGAGGGTGCCACTTAATTGTAGATTTGTTCAAATTCATTTGCAGGCTAGTTCAAATCCTAATTCAATCAGTGTGCGTATGTGTGTGTGTGTGCAATTTCAATCATATTTGGATTAGGGTTTTGTTTCTTAGTTCGATTGGGCAATTTGAGTGCTGTTGTGGAGGAGTCTGAAGTCTGGAACTGTTAATATCTTATAGATTTGAAAAAAAATAAAGGTGGTGTGTTTGGATGGGGGAAGGGGAAGGGGAAGGGGAAGTCTTGGTGGCAGTGTTAGACAATGGAGGAATGGAAAAACGAGAATTCATCAAGAATTGAATCGAAGCGCGGTCATGAATGGTTAGGGGACGATACTGAAGTTGAGCCTTGCACAAAAAAGCAAGCAAAGGATGCTTTAAGTGATACTGAATTGGAGTCTTGTGCTAACAAGCATGAATTGGAGTCTGGTTGCGCAAAGAAGCAGACAAAGGATGCTTTAAGTGATACTGAATTGGAGTCTTGTGCTAACAAGCAGGTTAAGGAAGCTTCAAACGATGAAATATTCTCAGAAATTTCAAACCCAAATTTGTCTCCAACAGATAATGCTTGCAGCATTCAGACTGTTAGTAGTCAACTGGCCAAGTTGGTGAGCAATAACCAAGTTGTTTCTGGTGAGAATTCGTCCACTTGTTCTAGGAATTTAAGTACCGAGGAGAGCCTGAATGAAGAAGAGGAGAGTAAAAATGATACTTCTGGAGCAGTATCTACGTCCCTTTTTGTATGTGAGATTCCAAAAGATTTCAGCTCCACTGGTATTAGGAAAATTATCTTCAAATTCAGCAAGTGTAAGGAGATCTATGATAATCAGTTATCTGCAATAGCAGTGGGATCTGGGTCTGATGGAATTTCCCAGTGGAATCATTCAGCATCAGATGATATGAATACAGAAATAAGTTCATATGGGAAGGTTGTTGATGAGAGCAGCAAAACTTTTTGATGTCAACCTAATATGGAACTGAAAATGTCTAAGAAGGTTCTTCCCGATAGTTATCCCACAACTGTTAAAAAGCTTTTATCTACTGGGATTTTAGAAAGAGGTCGGGTCAAGTATGTTACTACTTCATAGGAGGTATGTGGTAGTTCCATTTTTATTTTGGTAAAATTTCACTCAATCTTTAAAATATGTGGAACTCTTATTCTATTTCAAATGATTGTAGAGAGAGCTTCCTGGAATTGTAAAAGGCTGTGGATATTTGTGTGGCTGCTCATTATGCTTTTTTTTTCCAAGGTAAGTTGTTTTATCTCAATTTTTTTTATTTTTTTATTTTTTTGTGGTCATTTGGCTGGTTTTTTGCATTTTGTTTGGTTTACCATACAATTGAATGGTATAAGCAGATACTCAGTGCCTATGAGTTTGAGTTGCATGCTGGTGGCAAAACTAGACACCCGAGTAACCACATATACTTGGAGAATGGGAAGCCAATATATAGTGTAATCCAAGAACTCAAGACTGCACCACATAGTGTCAATGAAGAGTCTTTCCAGGCTTGGAAAGGTGATGCTGATTCCAAGCTTTTAATTTACTTTTTAGTGCTTTAGGCATCAGCTGTTCATTTTGCAAAAGCTCTTCTTTTTAGTTATTGAATTGATTTTGACGTTCACTTTTACCCTCAGAAAGTCTCCAAGAAAACAGTCATATGGTTAAAACTGAGAAGAGACGTCACATCAGTGTTCCTGGGATGCACTTTTCTGTTGTTTATCTAACACTATTTATTTATTGGCAAATTTTTACAACTTGTGATGATCTGCTATTGAAGAAGCAATTTTGTTACATTCTTGGTCAACATGTGTAAGTCTTGTTTTTCTAACTTGTGCTATTCCCTCTCTCCTCCCCTCTCTCTCTCCTTGGAATCTTGTTATCCATTTTAATCTTTCTTTTGCTGTTTCATTTCCCAATATTATTATAGTGGTGGGTTCAAGATTTGTAGAACTCATATATTTCCTTAATGAATCATGTATCCATTTTGATTTCTTCTTGTCTGTAACTCTCAAGATTGCCTCTCCCATGAAAATACTATAAGCTACTAGTTTATTCATGGAAATGGTATCTTTCCCTGTTCTTAAATTTCAGCTTGATTGTTGTAGAATGAGGTGTTGTATAGACTCTAGTCATGTAATTTTTATTGTGCTTCATCTGTTAGACATGATATCTCAATATGGAGTCTTGTCTATTGCTTTGAAATAATATGGCATGCCATATTTTTTATATTCTTTTTGGGTGAGATGTTGATGGTAAAGTTATTGTATAGATAGGGTGTGTTATACATGCCTTTTAAAAAAAGAAGAAAAAAAAAGAAAAAAAAGGATAGGTTGTATGATACACACAAAATCTATGTAGTTAGGTGCTTGGTTAGGAGCTAACATCTCACCTAAATCACAGTTAAAGTCATTACGGCAAGTAGAAAGGCAAATGTAAAGATAACAAATGCCTTATTAGAAGTTGGGCTTGCGCTATTTACCCTTTTTGCGTGACATCTAGTTAATTTCCTTTTTGATTGAATTTAAATGGTTGTTTGCTCATTGAATTTCTTTCATACAGCGTATAACTTTTGTTCTCGATGAAGAGATGTCTGGAGATGATGAATGCAGGGAGACATTGCAAGGAATTAACAACAATGGCAAGTTAAGTGAAGGTTATCTTATGCTTGCTTGTGATATAGAGGTCATGGAGCCCAAATCTTCGGAGGATATTTATAAGGTTGAGATTTCTAAGATATCCATACTAGCTCTTGATATCACCTTTGATTTTGATAGTTGAAGTAATTGTTGCATTTTTAAAAGGAATTTCTAAGCACATGTTATTCCTAAGTTGTTTTCTTCATTAAGCCTGGTATTATTTAACCAGACACATTTGCTTCACGGCCGGGCTAGTGCTGGTTTAAGTGTTAATTCAACCAGCCAGAACTTGGCAGCTACATTTGTTAATGCATTTTTGAATGTTGGCTTTGGTCATGTAAAAGTGTGGTTCATTTACATAGGAAATTTTAGAGGCAAATATTTAGGGGCAGGTTCATGTATCATTTACTGGTTTTATCGTCACAGGACAAGTTAATGTGTCACGACCCCATTCCGCCCCTAGTAGAATGGTGCCGTGAAAGCCAGTAATCCGAGATTACTGAAGGCCAACTTTCAAAAATTCACACACAATCAGAGTATAAATATATGGGGCTCACAAGTGCGGAAGCAATAATTTACAATACAAGTGGTCCATAAGAGCCATGCATAAGTCAAATGGAATGGCATACATCTTTATATAACTTTACAACTTGAATACAAATGAAATAAAGTACAAAAATACATATTACATCTTAACAAAAGGGCTCCACAAGCCGACATAAACAAAATACATGAACTACAGGTCAAGGAACATAATCTTCCAGATTGCCGACATCCTCACTGCCGACATGACATACATACAAAACACACATCTCGGCGAAGCCGACTTCTTGCTTGTTACCTACATATACATAGGGAGGGTGAGCTTGAATACTCAGTGAATGGTATAAATAATAAAGGGGTTAGATGAATGATTCCCGAGGTCCTTGTCAAAACAATACATATATCATAGCTTGTTCAAAACATGGGATGAATCTAGTTCATCAACCTTGATCTTACAAAACTTACTTACTTACTTACTTTGGATGTTAATAGCATCTACATAATACAAGGGATGATGACATTCCGGGCAAAACAAAAACATAACCTCGGCATCGAGCACACCCGTTCATAGTCCGTCGGTGGCCGATATCTTAACAAGGGTGCTACTTAGGCTTAACGTCCCCTAGCACGAAAGGACGGTGCTACCTAGGCTTAAAGTCCCCTAGCACGGAAGGACTCTTAAAACAAGATGTGCAGTTGCATTATAGTCCCCTGGCACTAAGGACTTTCAAAACAAGATGTGCAGTTGCATTATAGTCCCCTGGCACTAAGGACTTTCCGAGAATGTCATCAAAACAAAGCTTACTTGATACATAAAAATAGGGGTAATCATTCATGCTTGATCAAATGCTTTTATCAAAACGAAACAAGGCTTTATCAAATCTTTATAACATAACTTTATTAAAAATACCACTCACATAGTTCTTGGGACGTCGGGATCAAGGCAAAAGTCCAAGTCCTACAAACACATGGCAAAGTCTACTGAATGTACTTCTCAAAATAAGTCTTACATGCATGCAAGTGATCTCGGGAAAATATGCTGGAAGTTAAAACACTGCTTTACATGTCAGGAAGACATGCTGGGTACCAACCAGGTCTTTACCGAGGTCTCACACCTCCTGGCCGAGGTGTGGTTACCTAGGCTTCGGCGTGCGGCTGCATGTCGAGGTGCGTACAAGACAAACTAAAAGTGTAAGTGATCATGCAAGATAGGCCAAGGTGAGATACGAAGCTTGGCCTAGGTGTGTGATCTAGGCAAGAGTGATCTCGGCGACTACACTTAGGGAAGTGAGGTCTGGAGGTCTGGGTTTCCACCCGTGAAGAACATGAAGAATATGAATGCTAAAATCATAACTTCTTTATCACAAAATCTGGGATTTCATGCTATGAGTTCGAAAACATGGACCTGGGTACCCATACTTGAAGATCATAAGGAAACAAACACAAAAACATGGATCTTGGCATGAACTTTCGGATCAAAACATGACTTTTCTTGAAGAACACATGAATACTATTTTCTATTTCTAAAACCGAACTTCAAAGCAATGCATGGCTTACAAATCATATTCAATGATGCAATGCAATAACATGAACATAAAGAATAACATGAGCAGATCAAGAATCTAACTTTAAAACACGGATCTAATGGTTCGATCTCTAGGGATCGAGCTTGGAAATCTACCTCCTCTCAAGAACTCCTTTTCCTCACCTAGAGCTTCTCTCTCCTCTTCAAAACAAAGATATAGAAATGATAGGTTTTCTCCCTCTGCCGGTTGACTTAACACTCAGCTTGGACACGTGGCAACGGCTGGTTGGTTCTCCTCAAAAGGTGATAGATTGACAAGACAAGACTATGACAAAGTGTATCTAACAAGCAACCCGGCAAGGCACTCCGGCAAATGATGACATCGGCTAAGGGCAAAGCTTCGGCAACTAAGGTGACAATGACCTCGGCTAGGAAGGACAACACTTGACTAAGCTGTGCCACACCTTGGCCTAGATGCGCCACACCTTGGTCTAGGTCATACCACTCCAGGACAAGATCACTTAGGTGCAAAGGTAACATCTCGGCCTTGGTGATGAACACCTCGGCCTAGATAATGACATCTCGGCCAATATGTCAGGGCGAAGGTGGAGGTCAAACAAAGTGGTTCCAAAATAATTCTAGGCTGAAGATGACCTCGGCTTGGAATGATCTAGGCTTAACATGACCTAGGCTTGGCATGACCTAAGCTTGGCATAGCAGGGAAGGGACAAAGCATGTAAGCAACACTTAAGCAAAACAAGACAAGATTCATGAATGCAAACTTAACATGGCAAAACATATAAATGCATGCAAACATGACTAAGACATGAATGTGGGTTGTTACATAATGACAGTTCCATCTGAAGCTTCAAGTGGTGGTTCTTCAGGAAATTGGGTCTTTAAGAATAAAGCACATGGAAAAGCCAGTGCTGCAGCAAGTTTGGTATTGTGTTCTCTACTACCAGTCTATTTGTTGTTGCAAATTCTTTTATTGTAGGATTATCATTTTCACGCATTGTAGGGCATGATTCTGCTCTGTGGGATGTTGATTCTGGACTTGCCCAAATTGATAAGTATTTGCACAGTGATGACAAGAATGTCATTGCTAGTGCATCGTTAGCAGTTGGTATCTTAACTTGCGGTGTCGAGCATGAATGCGATCTTGTGAGTTCTATGTCATGTTTTCTGCAAAAAAGACCTATGATTGTTATATTTAATTTGAAATCTAAGTTTTCTTTTTTGAGGCATTGCCACTTCTTGCTGATTATGTAGATAAAGAAGATTTTTCTATCAAAATTGGTGCAATAATGGGTCTGGGCCTTAGTTGCACGAAGCGGGAGCGGGGGCGGGAGCGGGAGCGGGGAAGCGTGAGCCGATAGAAGTTTCTTAGGTTGGGAGCGCCTCGGGGAGCGGTACTATATATATATATATATATATATATTTTAATACACATTAGAATTTTTTTTATAAATATTTTTATTTTAATACACATTAATTATTTTTTTATTTTTAATATATATAATATATACTCATATATATATATATATTATATTTGTATGTGTTAATGTTTTTTTTATGTAAATATATTATAAAGATTATATATATTAATATTTTTATTTTTTTTATTAATGTTTTTTTATTATATATTTATATGTATATATATGATATATATTAAATAATAATGTGTTAATGTTTTTTTTTTTAAATATATATATTTATATAAAGATTATATATGTTTTATCTTATATATATATTACTTATATATGTTTTATCTTATATATATATATATATATATATTACTTAGAATCATATATATCGTGACAGACAGAAGGCCAGAGAGAGAGAGAGCACGAGTGAGAGAAGGCAAAGACGAAGGAGGAGACGATGACGATCAACAAGAAGGAGACGATCTGCGAGAGCGAGAGAGAGAGACGAACTGCGAGAGAGAGAGAGAAAGACGATCTGCCAGATAGAGAGAGAGATGATCTGCCAGAGAGACGATCTGCGAGAGCGAGAGAGAGAGACAATCTGCCAGAGAGAGAGAAGAAAAACGAAGCGAAGAAGCAGGACATACCCAGACGACTTTCAGGTTCTTCACCTTCTTTCTCCTCTTTCTCTCAGTTAGGGTTTTTGTTTATAGCCACCAACGATCCTATCTAGGACAGGATCGCGTTTCTCTCTCTACAGAAACGCGATTCTTACACGTTTCTTTCTAAGAAACGCGGAATCGCGTTTCTCACGGAGATTCGTCACCTGATTGCGCGATTCCTGCAACTAAGGTTTGGGCCTTGCTTATGCTGGTGCCCAATGTCCACAAGTGAGATTCCTTGCTCTTTAATAAAAAAGGAACGTAAAGTGTTTTTTTTTTTTTTTTTTTGGCGCTATTTGGAAGCCCATGAAAATAATACTATGTGTGGTAGACATGGGCCACCTTTTGTCATCATTTATGATTCACGAGGCACATCAACGGAATTATTCTATTTATTTTTCCATAAAATGATGGTCTTAGGTTGTGGAAGTTTGAAATTATATATACATATATAACTCAGTGTGTGTGTGTGTGTGTGAAAGAGAGAGAGAGAGAGAGAGAAATTTGATGAGCATCTATTCATTTCCTTTTCTTTGTATGTTAAATTTGGTTAAAGTTGTTTAATCTACTGTTTCTCACATCCATAGTAAATGGTCACCTATCTTTGGAATACAAAAACACCTATTTACTTGTTTGTCCACTTTTTTTGTATGATATGTTTATTTTCAATTGAAGCTGACTAATTATACATTATTTGTCAGATCCGTAGTAAATTCTCTCGTGTCCTTGAAGATAAGAAAATGCCTTTGGATGTGATTGTATTTACTGCAATTTCATTGGGTTTGGTGTATGTTGGTTCCTGTGATGAAGATATTTCTCAGACAATTATATCTGCATTAAAACACCAAAATTTGTCTAAATTGGGGCAGCCCCTCACTTGTCTTTTGCCTCTTGGACTCGACCTTCTATATCTTGGGAAGCAGGTAACTTGAAATCACAAGCTAAGAATGTTTTTAATTAATACTATAATTTTATTGGTAGTGTATCATAGTTTGTTCATTTTTAAATCAATGGAGTGCAAGTCAGAAACATGCACACACAACTGTCACTTGCACTCCATTGATTTGGAAGTAGTTTCCCCATTTCTGATTTGCATGATATTTTTCCTTTTTATTTTGGTGTTGTCTATGAAATGTTATTATTTAGTGACAAGACAACAGATTGCGCCTTATAGACTTGGGACTTAATTGTTATTTCTATCGTTCTTTTTTCTTTTCTTTTTTTTGAAATCCCATCCTGTTTTTTAACAGAAAAGTGTAGAGGGAACTGCAGAGATTTCAAAGACATTAAATACGAAAATTAGGACGCATTGTGACATGATCCTATTTTCCTGTGCTTATGCTGGGATTGGGGATGTGCTCAAGGTGCTTACTCTAAGGCTTTCAATTCGAATTGGGGTTCGCTCTGTTATGTTGATGAAAGTAGCTGACCGTTCTTTTTTCACACAGGTCCAATACCTTCTGGGTCAGTGTGCCCAACATCTTAAGAGGGGAGAAACCCACCAGGGACCGACTGTACTTAGAATTGCTATGGTAGCAATGGCTGAAGAATTGGGTCTTGAAATGGTTATTCGCTGTTAGAGCATCTTTTACAGTATAGAGAGCAGAATATCCGAAAGGCGGTTCCTTTGGCTCTTGGTCTCCTCTATATATCAAACCCTAAGGTAATCAATCCTTGGATGTGTTTACAATAACAAAAAATTCCTTAGATATCTTTTGCCAAGCTGAGCACCTTGACAATGTTTCAATTGCAGTCGAGCAAGATTATATACTTACTTTCCATGGGTAATATTGCCAAATAATTTATGATTGGATGTTCTAACCCAGGTAAACGTTAAAGACACATTAAGCAGACTTAGTCACGATACAGATATAGAAGTAGCAATGGTATTTTCATATTTCTGAAGCAGTCAAGATTCTTTTTCATTGAATTGATTACTAAAATGAGATTCATCATTCTCTGTCACTGATTTTGCAATCTTTTGTGCAGGCCAAGCTTCTACCATTCTAGTTCAGTTATGAAACAGACAAAAAACTGCAGAAGGTCGTACCAAGAAAAGGTAAAACTTGTTCTCTCTTTTCTCCCTCTCCCTGGTCAAGTGTCTTAGTTTTCTTGGTACTTTAATAGAAGTCTGCTTCTAATTCTGGGGTTTTTTCCGCTTGGCTTGAAGTCTTATGCTTATTAAAATTTTGCACATTGATTACAGGGATAATGACCTACATCGATTACTTTTCATGCCTAATGGACTTTTAGATGGTGCTGAATTGGCTCACTATTCCAAATGACAGGTGGTTTTTTCGATGCACTCTCTTCTTTTGCTGATGTGTTTACATTTTTCTCAATTTCTTCATTTTATATATTTTATTTTTTATTGCAGAGAATACTTGGGGGCTACAAACAAGAAAATGGAATAGTTTGTAGTTGTTGTCACACTGAGGTAAATTATTAGCCCAACACTTACTGAATAAAGTGCTAGGATCCCCTTCTCTTTGCCCCCTTTCCCCCTAACATTTATAGGTCTCAGTTATGAGATTATTTTCCTTTGGGAGTAGATTAGTCCTTCGAAGTTTGAGGCTCATGCTGGATGGTCTGCTAGACGCCCACCATGAGTAGCCTTAAAAAACTAATCATTGGTTCAGTGATTGTGAGTACGCTATGCTGAATTAATATTTTCCATTGTTTATTCCAGCTGCCGGAACATCTATACTTCTAGCGGACTGACGCTTCATGATATAGCTCTGTCATTGGCTAATGGACAAAATCTGGCTACTGGAAGCAGTGATGATATGTGTGCAACATGTGGAGCTGGAGGGGATCTGATTATTTGTGATGGATGCCCTCTGGCTTTTCATACAGGTGGGTATTTCCCTTGAATATACTCTCTCTGTTCTTGTTATGATTGATGTTCATATTGCGTGGTTCTCATCTCTGCCTTATATAGCAGACATTTAATTTATCTCTTATTTGGTGTTCTAGGAATTATATTCCACCATTGAAGTGACTACTACGTACTAAAAGTAGAGTAAGATAACCTATGTAGATACTAGAATAGTTGATACAAAAAAATGTAGTGTAGATATGTCATGGTTTGGTTGTGTGTTCTTTCGAGTACGTGATGATATCTTCGCATATCAATAATCTTATTTATTTATTTATTTTTTGAAATAAATATCAAATGTTTTACATTTTCTGCAAGCATGAAATAAATTATATTGTAAATGATGATTTTTTTTTGGTTTCTTTTTGCAGATGCAACCCCTTTTGAGTACGTGATGATATCTCCGCATATCGATATTAGAGTTTACTATTGATATTAATAAATATGTTTTTTTATTTGTAATGTCGATACTTTTGTTTTGTTTTCGATACAAAAATTTAAGTTCTTTAATATAAAAAATTATTAGTATTGTTGGAGGATGTTTTATATATTTTTGTAAAGAATATTTGGTTGACAATTGTTACAAGGTACATATATTATTCTTGGTATATGATTTTTTGAATGTGAATTTGGATGTGGATATGGATGTGGGTGTGGATGTATTTTAGAAAATATTAATAATTTGCATAGGGAATATTTAATAAAATATGATTTTATAAAAAATAATTTTATTGCAACAATAATAAACCGTCACTAATGTAATTCTCATTTACTTTATTAGCAGCGGGTTAACCTGTCGCATATACATATTAGTTCCAATCTTTTGCGACGGTTTAAACTGTTGCAAATACGATATTAACTTAATACTACTTTTCTGGCGACGTTTTAGACCATCGCTAATAATACTTTTTGCGACAGCAAATACTGTCACTAAAAAAGGTTTTTTGTGACGGCAATCAACATCATCACTAAAAATGCCGTTTTTTCCCTTTTTTTGTGTCAAGCGAAACCGTCGCAAAAACTATTAATTAGCCGTCGTTACAAGAAAGCGACGGTTTGTAACCGTCACAAATACTTTTTGTCATGCCCCTTTCCGCCACCCTTTATTTTCTGTCACTGTTCCGTTGCAAAAGTTTTTTGCGACGATATAAGGACCTTTTGCGACGTTTGACACCGTCGCAAAAAGTCCAGTTTTTGGTAGTGCTTAATCTATAGGGACGGGTTCGGATCATGACAGCTTCTTTGATTGTTTTCTTTGATATATGTGAGAGTTTATATCATAAATTGAGTGGATTATATCAAAAGGTTTGTTTATTTTATTTTATTCAAAAAAGAAAGAGTTGTTTTTCGGTGGATTCCGTAGAATTTGAGCCTGAAGTTTTTGTGGATTCCAAAGTGGCTCATCGTCGTCGATTCGACATCATCGTTACGGATTCAACATTGAGCAAGACAATTCCGAGGTGAATACGTATGGTGGTGAAAGAGGCACAGTGGCGTCGATTCAATTTGAATGTGGATTCGTTAGGTAATTGAGAGTACACTTGTTTAATTCTTTTTTTTTCTTTTTGATGGATTGTTTTGTAACTTTTGCCCATAGTTTTTTATCACAATTAATTGGAGGTGCTCCAATTGTGATTTTTCTACGTTAAATCGTTGTGTCGATTCGTCTTTGATTGTTTGATTGTGATTGTTATTTACTAGTTAAAATTGATGCATAATCACAAATAAACATCTCAGGAATTTTTTAATTTTTCAATTTGTATTTTTTGTTAGAACATAATGTAGGTTAGTAATTTGGTTAAAGACTTGGTCTCAATTTCAATTTTCTCCCCGATGAAAAACAGTCCCAATTTGAAAGGAAAATGAACAGCAGTACTTATTATTAAACACTAGACCATCATACATTATTATTATTTGAAACTGGCATAACCCATTTTGCTCAACCATACATGCACAATAATACAACTAAATCTACCCACTTAGAACCAATAACCATGTGCCACGTGGCATGAACCCTCTCCATTGCATGCTTTCCCCGTGGCAAGTTGGCGTTGGACAATCCAAGTTGCCAGGATCATATGCATTTTCTAGATTCCAAGCCCCATGTACTACTACATATATATATATATATATATATATATCTTTATTGTTGCACCTAATAGAAATACTCAAAATGAACTTTGACAACTACATCACAAACTTTTCACCAAGCCAAACTTCCATATAGGTTTTTATTCCTCAGTTTTTTCAACTGGTTTTTCTTCTTCAGCAGCAGCAGCAACTTTATCATCTTTTGGGGTTTCAGTGACTGCTTCTGGTTCCGGCTCCGGCACCGACGCCTCAGTGGTGGATTCTGTAGTTTCCTTAGTTTCTTCCTCCTCAACTGGTTCTTGTGCCACCTTTGGTACACTCTTCTCCTCTTCTTTCTCCTCTACAACTGCTATTTCAGGCACCACTTTATCCTCTTCCACCAGCTCCTTAGTCTCAACTTCAGCTGCCGGAGCTTTGGGTTCCTCTGGTTCTACTGCCGTCTCTGTTTCCTTCGCTTCTTCTACAGGAGCCTCCGCTGGCACCGGTGGTGGTGGTGCGGTGGAGGTGGTGACTACCTCTTCTCCTTTGGTTGTCTCTTCAGCCTTGTTATTAGTTTCTTCTTTAATCTCCTCTTGGTGTGCTGGTGTAGCTGACACAACCTGCAAGGCCCAACAATTTGAGAATAACTACTGAATCGCCCCCTATTTACTGGATTGATTCAAATCATATTAACTACTCTAGTGAAGAAGAAATTATTGTAACAGCTAGCACTCTTGATTTTATAAACTAGCATGCCTTTCTTGATCCAATGAATTGGGTTCTCCAGTGAGAAAAAAAAAAATTAAAAATTAAACATTTATTAATCAATATCTGTAAAAACATATTTCTGAATGATATTGCATAAAAGAAGTTTCAATTGCAGATAGAGATCCATGACATCATAAGATATGACGATCAGATGAGCAAGTATGTAGACAACAAAAACTAAGAAGAAAGAATAATAGCTCTAAAAATAAACAGAATAGTTGAGTTTAATTGCTACACAAAATTGAATTCTAATTTTTATATTAATCAAACTCCCAAATGAATTTGGTTGGGGATTTGAGTTACCTCAACAGTGGCCATAGTTGAAACACCAAAAAAAGACTAATAGAAGCAAATCAAGATAAATGAAGAAGAGAATGAAGGATGGAGCTTGGGATGAAGAATAAATCAATCAGAGAGGTTTATATAGTGGTGCAGAGGCCTCGAGTTTATGAGAGGATTGGAGAAAAAAATGAGGAGAGAGAGAGAGAGAGGGGTGGGGGCACATGAAGGATTTTTTTGGAATTTGACATCTTATCTGTTAGTAATGTTACCCTAGAGAGATTTTCTGGTTTTTAATGTACTTGTTTGTATAAGGGAGACCATTTTCGTATGGGCCATCTTCTTTTGGTTTTGTGTGATTCTGTGCTTGGTGCAGTCGGGCATGTAGGTGACCTATTGATAATTTTGATGCTCTCAAATAATATTTTATGAAAAATATTTTCAGCATTCTGTTATAGTTTTTAGTATATTAATATTTAAAAAAAAAAAAAAAAAAAAAAAGTCAATGAAAAACATCGAGAGGGGAATTTATGCCAAACAAATGGACCGAGCTATTCTTCGTCTACGATGATGAGTCAAGTTGGATGATAAACTTGGGCTATGGCCCGTGCCTTGGTAATGGGCTGGGGCAAAGCTGAGATGAGGCCATAAGTTCGGACCGAGCTATCTCATCTTGAGTTGGACCGTGGGTTGGGCTAAGCTAATTGGTGGACCAAGCTAGCATGCAGAAGGCTATTGAGACGGCAAGCTGAAGATATTCACTAAGTGCGGAGGGACTTGAAGGGCTTCGCCGAGCTATAAGGTGTTTAGCAGAGCCAAGTTGAGTTTACTTGACATAAGAGCACTCAGAGTTAGCGTAGTTGAGGACAGCTAAAGTAGAATTCAATCACAAGTGGTAGCTAAGTATGGATGAGCCACGTGTCCCAATGGAATGCATGTATGGAGGACCGTTCAAAGTACACATCAATACTGTTTGGCGGTTTGGCTAATACTATTTGACAATATTGACGAGTACACGTGTAAAGAGAATAGAGAGAAGTACATTCACGCGTCTAGCGAAGGACAAAGAAGGTAGTGTAAGTTTTCTGTATATTCAACTTGTGTATCAATTACATCAAGACTAGTTTATATAACTCTAACAACTAACCAAAAAGGAAATACAAGAATGGGACCAAAAAAAGAAATACAGTTATCACAAACATGCCTAATATATCTGAATATATTCTCACACCCCCACTCAAACTCAAGGTTTTTTATCCGAAAACAAGGAGAGTTTGTCAAAAAGAAACCGAAAACGAGCAGTGGTGTAAGTCTTGGTAAAGAAGTCAGCAGGCTGTAGAGTCGAAGGGACAAAAGAAAGCGAGATAGAGCTAGACTGTAGGTACTGACGGATGAAGTGCCAATCAATCTCAATGTGCTTCGTTCGTTCATAGAAAACAGTGTTGTGGGCAATCTGAATAGCACTTCGGTTGTCACAGTATAGAGAGAAGTCGGAGAGGACTGAGGAATGCCTAAGTCAGAGAGGAGACAGCAAAGCTAGACAACCTCATCAATAGCATGAGCTATAGCACGGTACTCAGCTTCGGTAGTAAAACGGGCAACAATGATTTGTTTCTTACTTTTCCAAGAAATCAAGGAATCACCAAAAAACAGACAGACACTAGAAGTGGACTTACAATCAGTCATATCACAGCGCAATCAGCATCAGCATAAGCCACCAAATCCAGGGAAGAAGTAAAAGACAACAACAAGCCTTGGAAGATAGTACCGTGAAGATAGCGAAGAATCCGAACCAAAGCAGCCCAATGCTGAGAGTGGGGAGCAGAAACGAACTGGCTAACCACATGAATAGCATAAGCAAGATCAGGGCGAGTAACTATCAAATAAACTAAGCAGCCTACAAGCTCGTGATACAAAGTAGGATCATCCAGGGGGACACCATCAAGCTTCACATTAAGCTCAATGGGGGTATCAGAAATCTTAGTGTCAGTAAGACTGGCACGATGAATAACCTCATTGGCATATTTGGCCTGAGACAGAAAGTAGCCCTTGGGAGAAGAAGCAACTTCAATACCAAGAAAATGCTTCAATGGTCCTAGATCTTTTATTTCGAAGGTGCAGAAGAAATGTTGCTTGACCTCAGAGATAGCAGAAGAGTCAGAGCCAGTAATGATCATATCATCCACATAGAGTAGGAAAGCAACAAAACCAATCGAGGTATGTCTCAAAAACAAAGTAGACTCAAAAGCAGAAGGATAAAACCCAAGCTCGGTAACAACAGTCTGAAAGTGATTATACCAAGCACGAGGAGACTGCTTTAGGCCATACAGAGCACGTCGAAGGCAACAAACCTGTCCAGAGGAATGGTGAAGGCCGGGGGAGGACGCATGTAAACCTCCTCAGTGAGATGGCCATTAAAAAAAACATTCTTAACATCCATCTGATAAAGACACCAAGAATGAACAGCAGCGATAGAGATCAAAGTACCGACAGTAGTCATTTTGGCAATAGGAGTGAATGTCTTCTTATAATCAATACCATACTCCTGTGAGAAACCTTTGGCAACCAGACGAGCTTTGTAACACTCAAGAGAACCATCAGAATGAGTCTTGACTTTGTAGACCCATTTGCAACTAACTAGATTCTTATCAGCAGGTAAAGGAACCAACTCCCAAGTACAAGTTTTCTGTAAAGTAAACAACTCATCCTCTATAACTTGAATCTAATGAGGATCCTGAAAAGCCTCTTTGTAAGATTGAGGTTCTGAAAAAGAGTGAATAGTAGACAAAAAAGTACAATAGAAAGCAGAAAAACATGTATTAGACCAACCCAACCTGTTTAGAGGACGACGCTCACGAGAAGGATAGCGGTGTGCAGCAGGATTACAGTTGTTAGAAGCAGAAGGAGCAGCAACAGGAGTAGAGACAGCTGGTGGTGGGGGAGCCTTACGACGAGAATAGACCAACAACGGAAGGGAAGAAGTAGCTGAATGAGAAGAAGGAGCCATAGGTGACGTAGGCGGAGAAGTAGGAATGACCTCAGGAGGAACAGTGGAGATATACTCATCTGATGGGACCCCAGAAGAAAATGGGTCAATGTTCTCTTTCGAAACGGGAGCAATGAGAGGGGGAAGCTAAAAGTAAGACAGACGTTCGAGAAAGGCAACATGACAGGAGACATAGAGGCGATGAGAAACAGGGTCGTAATAGCAATAGCCTTTCTAAGTAAGACTGTAGCCCAAAAAGACACACAAGACAGACCGGACACTGAGTTTGGTCCAATCTTTACGGGAAATGAAGACAAAACAAACAAACCCAAAAGACACGCAGGAGGAAATAATTGGGAGGTTAGGAATATAGAGCCTTATAAGGGAATTGACCAGAGAGTATGGGAGTCTGCATGTGATTAAGGAAGAAAGTAGCGGTAAGAACTACCTCACCCAAAATGGCGTCGGAACAGAGGCAGAGAGAATGAGAGATTGGGACAGTTGTACTTCCAATGACCCTTTTGATGGCAGAAAGCACACTCATCTGATGCTAAGGGCCCCTTTTTGGGCTTGGTAGAAGACTGAGCTGAGAAGTAGATGGAGTCGCCAATAAGGATGGTTATGCTAAGAAGACTGAAAGAGACACGGTCTGACTAGCTGTATTGAGACTAGTTTCTTCGGAAAAAAGCTCACGAATAATAGCATTCAAAGAAGGGAGAGGAGAATGGTGAAGGATGCCACCACGGATAGCCTCATACTGAGGAGAGAGAGCCGTCAAGAATTACACCAGACAACCCTTCTCCCTAAACTGCACATAAGCATCGAGGGCTGTAAGACGAGGAGGTTCCATAAGAGCAAGCTGATCCTAGAGACCCGTCATCTCAACATAAAATCCTAAATAGATTTATCCTGCTGACGAGCATTCTGAATAGCGGACTCCAACTCATACCGTTTGGCGAAGTTAGACTGTTAATAGACGCCAAATAAGTACTCCCACACCTCTTTAGCAGTAGGATATTTGGATAACATCATTCCAATGCTATCTTCTATAGAATTATGAAGCCAAGTTAGAATTTGGGCATTGTCACAATCTCATGTGTCACAAGCAACCAGATAATTGTCCTGTTTTGAATTCGAAGGACGCGGTATAGACCTAGACACATAACCCCATTTTTTTTCGACCCATAAGAAAATTCTTCATAACGGTGGACCAACAACCATAGTCGGCACCAATGAGCCTGCAGTTGATAGCCTGAATTTTATCCTTCGACATGATGAAACTAAAGAACCGAGAAACTTTAGGATCAAATTGTAATTTCTAGAGAACCTTGGGGTAAAAGAGTAATAAGCAGAACACTATTGTTATCACTATAAACAACTAGTAATTAGAGATACCAACACGAATCAATCACGAAGCAACTGAGAGGGAGAGATACTGTGGTCGGCAAATACGCGAGAAGGACACATGACGACGACAGTGTTAGGGCTCGCGAAGAGTAGAAGCAGAAGTCGATTGACCAAAGTCGAACCGGAGAGAGAGAGGTCAACCAAACCACGATCATGATTCCATAGAGAGAGAGAGAGAAACCACCGATGATCACGAACTAGAGTCGATCGACCTAGGAATACGAGACCAGATCACTCGACTTCAACCAGCCAAGACGAGGCACGATTTCCACTTCGATTGAAGCAGCGATTGGGGGAGAAGATCACCTACAACTCACGACTGAGAGAGGGCAACAGTTTCTAGAGTTTTTGGTTCTGATACCAAGTAAGTTTTCTGTATATTCAACTTGTGTATCAATTAAATCAAGACTAGTTTATATAACCCTAACGACTAACCAAAAAAGAAATATAAGAATGGGACCAAGAAAGGAAATACAGACATCACAAACATGCCTAATATATACAATGCCTAATATGTACGAATACATTCTCACAAGTAATGCGTGCACAATCTTGGAAAGCAAGGTAGCAACCTAGATAAGGCACTTCACTCAGAAAAAGGGTAAGCCAACTTACACTGCTCACTCTCTCTACTCTTCTTCTCTCTGGATTGTTAACTTGATTGTCGAAAGGGTTTTCCAGTAAACCACCCACCAAGTAGCTCACCCTTGTTGTGTTTCAGGAAGTAAGACACCATTCGGAGCAATATGAGCTTGGATGCAAGGAGTCCGGATGCAAAGAATATCTG